TTTTTTTTTTTTTTTTTTTGAGATGGAGTCTCACTCTGTTGCCCAGGCTGGAGTGCAGTGGTGCCATCTCGGCTCAACACACCCTCTGCCTCCTGGGTTCAAGCAATTCTCCTGCTTCAGCCTCCCAAGCAGCTGGGATTACAGGCATATGCCCGGCTAAATTTTTGTATTTTCAGCAGAGATGGAGTTTCACCATGTTGGTCAGGCTGGTCACGACCTCCCAACCACCCGACTTAGCCTCCCCAAGTGCTGGGATTACAGGCGTGACCCACCATGCCTGGCCTTTTTTTTTTTTTGACACAGGGTCTGGCTCTATCACCCAGTCTGGAGTACAGTGGCGCAATCATAGCTCACTGAAGCCTCAACCTTCAGGCTCAAGTGATCCTCCCACCTCAGCCTCTCAAGTATCTGGGACTACAGGTATGCACCACTATGCTGGCTATATATATATTTTTATAATTAGAGATGAGGTCTCGCTATGTTGGGCTGGTATCAGACTCTTGAGGTTGAAGCTTCCTTCTACCTCAGTCTCCTATAGTGTTGGGATAACAGGTGAGAGCCACTGCACCTGACCAATTATTATTAGACAGTTAATGAAATGAGATACAAAGAGGTGAAGTAATTGGCTCAAGGTCATCAGTGAGTGAATGACTGGAATCCAGGCAGTCTGGTTCTGCAGTGTATGTTTAACAACCTCTCTACTGATGTTGAGAGTATCCAATTTATGAATACGCATGTGATCAAATTTCTCGGGTTTTTAATTTTTTTTCTTAATTTTTTTGTAGAGACAAGGTCTTGTTATGTTGCCCAGGCTTGTTTCAAACTCCTAGGCTCAAGTGATCCACCCACCTTGGCTTCAGGCATGAGTCACCATGCTTGCCCCAAGTTTCATTTTTAAGTCTACTATTTAGAACTCAAGAGTGCATGACTTAAAAGCTACCTCGAACAGCAGAAAGAGCACAGGATCTGGATTTGAATCAAAGTACTGTCTATCTCATTAGGTTGATATGAGAATTAAATGAAAAAAACATAATTGCTAACATAGTTCTTGGCCCACTCTTTAATGTCAATTTGTCAATGTTAAGCATTAAGTAAGTAGTCTGCTAAATGTCTTCTGAAGGAGGACTATGCAGTAAACTATGATCATTACAGTAAAAATGTAACTCACTGCCATTAGTGAAACTATCTTTTTACTACATCTTTTTACATATTAACAGGAAATTTATTAAACATATCTCATAAATTTACATGTTTCAATATTAACAGGAAATAAATTTACTAAACATGTCTCATAAATAATTATAAAAATAATTTCAGGCCGGGCACGGTGGCTCATGCCTATAATCCCAGCACTTTGGGGGGCCGAGGAGGGCGGATCTTGAGGTTAGGAGATCGCAACCATCCTGGCTAAGACAGTGAAACCCCATTTCTATTTAAAATACAAAAAAATTAGCCGGGCCCAGTGGCAGGTGCCTGTAGTCCCAGCTACTCAGGAGGCTGAGGCAGAATGGCATGAAACCGGGAGGCAGAGCTTGCAGTGAGCTGAGATCACACCACTGCACTCCAGCCTGGGCGGCAGAGTGAGACTCCGTCTCAAAATAAATAATAATAATTTCAAAAGTATTATTAAACTGATTAATGGCTGGCCATTTATTGAGCACTTAATATGAATCAAGCACTGTAAGAAGCACTCTGGAAGTATCACCTCACATATTCTTCATAGGACCCTAAGAAGTAAGTGCTCACATGAAAGGTGAGAAAACAGAGGCAGAGAAACATAGAGTCACCTGCATAGGACTATATAACTGGTAAGTGGCAGAGGCAGAATTTTTATCCAGGAAATCTCGTTCTAAATTAACTTTGAAAGGTAAACTATCTCAAACAGAAACAAGGATATATACTACAACATATTCATAGAAGGGTATATATGCATGAGTATATATTTAATTTTAAGCCACTGTCTCAATAACAAAGAAGGATAAATAGGTATAGACCAAATATAAGTTAAAACGTTTGATTACATTGAATGAATTAAGAGAAAGTCAGTCACCTATATAATGCCACATGACTGTATCTTCCATAGTTACCTTTTGAAGAAGAAAACTGGAGGCTGTTTATTGCACTTCTGATATCACCAGAACATCCTTGACAGAGCAACTCTAGAGAAGTTTTGTCAGGGACAGTAATTTTTCCTCCATTCTAAAATAAGAAAATTAAATTTTTAAAAAAGTATTTTCTTAAAAATAACAACAAAAAAAAACCCCAACCTATTTTCTAAACTTAATTAAAGTAAATTAGATTCTTTTAAACTTAAATACTAAAAAGGGCTGGGAACAGTGGCACATTCCCATAATCTCAGCAATTTAGGAGGCTGAGGTAGGAGGATCACTTGAGCTCAGGAGTTTGAGACCAGCCTAGGCAAGGTAGTAAGACCTCATCTCTACAAAAAATCAAAACAATTAGCTGGGCATGGTGGCATGCGCCTGTATTCCCTGCTACTCGGGAGGCTGAAGTGGGAGGATCACTTGAGCCCTGGAGATGAAGGCTGCAGTGAGCTATGATCTTGCCACTGCACTCTAGCCTGGGCTATAGAGCCAGAAAAAAACACTTATCTTAAAATAATAATAAAAAACTAAAAAGCCTCCATGTTAAACACTGGTCTATGAATGGTACAAGCTTCAATGACTTACTACAGTTTAAGGTATACTTTCAGGAAATATTAAATAATGTATTGTTTTACTTTTTCACTTTGACCAGGTTGTATTTTGAAGTTTTTACTCTCTCACTATATACACACAAATATGTAACATATATATGTACATACACACACACACACAAACCCTCAAAATGCAATAGAATGTGATAAAACTAAATATACACAAAATAATCTGACAAATTTATGAAATTTACATGAAAATTCCTTTACTAAGGTTTTCAACACATTATACAGTCTGGTGAGGATGAAAAAGCCACGATTACACCAATTATTTCTTCTTCGTCTTTTTTAAACCGGAGCCACTTGAACTAATCAATTCACTAAAAAAAAAAAATTTTTGTTTTGACAGAAGGTGTTACTATATCACACCTGGGCTGGTCTTGAGCTCCCTGGCTCAACTAATCCTCCCACCGCTGTCAGCCTTTGTAGCTGGGACTACAGGCATGCACCATGGCTCAATTTGCAGTTCTCACGCTTATAGTAGAGAATGTAGATTTTCTTTTAGAGACAGGGTCTAGGTCTGTCCACGACAGACTACAGTCATGTCATCTAGATCACGGCAGTCTCAAACTCCTAGGCTCCAGTGACCATCCTGCCTAAGGCTTCTGAGTAGCTGGGACTACAGGAGCATACCACCATGACCAGGTAATTTTTTTTTCTTTTTTTTGGGTGGGGGATACGGAGTTTCGCTCTTGTTGCCCAGGACGGAGTGAAGTAGTGCAATCTTGGCTCACTGCAACCTCCACCCCCTGGGTTCAAGAGATTCTCCTGCCTCAGCCTCCTGAGTAGCCGAGATTATAGGCACCTGCCACCGCACCCGGCTAATTTTTATATTTTTATTAGAGATGAGGTTTCACCTGTTGGCCAGGATGGTCATGAACTCCTGACCTCAGCTGATACACCCACCTCGGCCTCCCAAAGTGCTAGGATTACAGGCGTGAGCCACTGCACCTGACCCATTAAATATTTTCAAAACACTAATGGCATAATAATTCATCACAGTAATTGCTTCCCGTATTACAGGACTCAGTTTGTTTCTCATTTTTCACTATTAATATCTGTTATTCAGTTAGGTGCTCTACACTAACGTGTTTAATCCTCAAAACAACCTCTCCCTTGGAGACTTCCCTCAGTTCCTGTGGTCCTAGCAGTGCAACAAAAATTATGTTTCATGCAAGATTTGGTTGATTTATACCAGTAGGATTCCCTAGAACCATGATGCTGAGAGCAGAAGGTCCATCAGTTTTTTTTTAACATCATCTTGATTTGAGATATAGAAAAAAATGACGTACTAAAAGTGAAACAAGGCCGGGCACATGGGCTCATGCCTGAAATCTCAGCACTTTCAGAGGCTGAGGAGGGAGGATCACTTGAGCCAGGAATTCAAGACTAGCCTGGGCAATACAGGGAGACCCTGTCTCTAAAAAAAAATTAAAAAATTAGCCAGGCATGGTGGTACCAGCCTGCAGTCCCAGCTGCTTGTGAGGTTGAGGTGGGAGGAACACTTGAGCCCAAGAGGTCGAGGCTGCAGTGAGCAATGATTATGCCACTATAGTCCAGCCTGAGCAAAAGAGTGAGACCTTGTCTCAAAAAAAAAAAAAAAGTGACAACAGCTGTATATGAATGTAAATATACTTTAATGAACTGTATCTTTGAAAATGGTTAAGTTGATAAATTTTATGATACATGTTTTTCACTACAATTTAAAAAAATGTCAAAATTAAAAAGTGACAATAGGATAACAGGAAGAGTTGAATTGTTGATAACTACCACACCTACATGCCAGAAAACATTTTCTTGATGATAGACACAATTTAGAACAGTAAACCAAGCAAAAGAAAAATTTACCTCAATGTGAAAGTGAAAGTTTAATAGAAAAATATTAAAGATTTTGAAAATCAGTATTTCCTACATTTGCTAAAATGACATGTATGCCTTATGAATATAATAAAATGCTTTAATTCTAAAAAATTAAAATAATACATGTTTCCAACTCCTTCAGTTTACATAACACTATTTAAGCTGGGCTTTCTATAGTTATCAAGTGAGGTTTAATTAATCAGAGACTTACCTTGTTAGCTTCTATAGTCACTATTCGATTAAGAAATTTCATCATAATTGTTGGTGCCACAGGGTTGAAACTAAAAGTTTTATAAAGAAAGACAGCAGTTAAATGATTAATTTAAAAATATAATACGTATGTGACCTTTATAAGCAAAAATTTCTTTCTTACCTAATATTTGAGATAGAACACTCTTCCTGAATTTCTTTGGGAAACAATAACCTTTGATTATTATCTCCACTGAGACTGTCCGAGATTACAAATATAAGAGGACATCGACCAATCCTCACATACTTCCTAAAATAACAAAATACAGCAATGTTGAAATTTAAGCCACTTCTCATTTAATTTGGAGTTTTAGAATACTTCACTGAAACCTACCTTAGAACTTCATGTAAAGTATGAGAATCCCGATAAAACTGGTTAGGTAAATCCTATTGAAAATAAAAAATAAATAATAGTATAGTTTTATTCCATTGCAAATTTATTTTTCAGATTCATATTTATTGAGATAGGCAAAAAAATATTTATTCAATGTATTTTAAACAGAACTTTCATAGAAGCGAAGGGAAACATGAAATAGATGATACCCCAGGAATGATACCCTCAGGAATGCAAGAGCAGCCTGGGCAACATGGTGAAACCTGGTCTCTACAAAAAAATACAAACATTAGCCAGACGCGGAGGCTTGTGCCTGTAGTCCCAGCTACTTGCGGGGCTGAGGCGGGGGGAATAGCTTGAGCCCAAGAGGTAGAGGTTGCAGTGAGCCGAGATTGTGTCCAGCCTGGGTGACAGAGTGAGACCCTGTGTAATATACATCAAAGGGGATCCCAATTTTTAGACCAAATTTCTTACGGTTACTTTCCAGTTACAGTATTTTCACTAGGAAGTAATTTTTCAAACTTTTCTTTTGTTTTTCTATACTTAAACCATTAAAATTTTAACGTTCCTTATCCTACAGCTATTCCATTCAAGTTTACTAAAAAAGACTTTAGGTTTCTATTACAAAGCCTTTGTGTTGTATTTTACCAATATCACTACTATAGAGACAATTAACATTATCATGTAAGATATATCTCACAATTGTTCAGTCAATACCTACAGCAAGATTTTAAAAGTTGGCTGGGTGCAGTGGCTCACATGTGTAATCCCAGCACTCGGGAGGCCAAGGCAGGCAGATTACCTTGAGGTCAGGAGTTCGCGACCAGCCTGGCCAACATGGCAAAACTCCATCTCTACTAAATATACAAAAATTAGGCCGGCATGGTGGCAGGTTCCTGTAATCCCTGCTACTCGGGGAGGCTGAGGCATGAGAATTGTTTCAACCCAGGAGGTGGAGGTTGTAGTGAGCCAAGACCGCACCACCGCACTCCAACCTAGGGGTTAAAGCAAGACTGTCTCAAAAAAAAAAAAAAAAAGATTTTAGGCCAAGCACAATGGCTCACGCCTATAATCCCAGCGCTTTGGGAGGCCATGGCGGGCAGATCATGAGGTGTCAGGAGATCGACATCATCCTAGCTAACATGGTGAAACCCGTCTCTACTAAAAAATAGAAAAAATTAGCTGGGCATGGTGGCGGGCGCCTGTAGTCCCAGCTAATGGGGAGGCTGAGGCAGGAGAATGGCGTAAACCTGGGAGGTGGAGCTTGCAGTGAGCCAAGATTGCGCCACTGCACTCCAGCCTGGGTGACACTGACAGAGCAAGACTCCGTCTCAAATAAAAAATAAAATAAAATAAAATAAAGATTTTAAAATTTGTCCTTACTTCAACCAGAATTATCTTCTTATCAGTTCTCAGATCATCTCCAAGCATTTGTAACTTGTTATACTTTGTTGCTCTTAGTAGAAACTCTTTGAAAACTGCTATCTGAGACTGATAGGGAAACATATGGAAGCTTGATTCTGAAAGGAAACACATAACCACTTTTATTTTCAACAAATTATATACATTAATATTAAACAACTGTATGCACACACACACACATCTGATGCATCTCACAATACTGTAGACTGTTTCCTAATTAGGAAAAATCATTTAAATTTAAAATAGGATATTCCTTTCAAAAGACAAGAGTCAACATGTAGCCAGGTGCAGTGGCTCACGCCTGTAATCCCAGCACTTTGGGAGGCTGAGACGGGTGGATCGCTTGACCTCAGGAATGCAAGAGCAGCCTGGGCAACATAGTGAAACCCAGTCTCTACAAAAAAATACAAAAATCAGCCAGGCGTGGAGGCTTGTGCCTGTAGTCCCAGCTACTTGTGGGGCTGAGGCGGGGGGAAAGCTTGAGCCCAGGAGGTAGAGGTTGCAGTGAGCCGAGATTGTGTCCAGCCTGGGTGACAGAGTGAGACCCTGTGTAATATGGAGTTAACTGACCTAAGAACACAGCCGTCAGCATAACATTCATACAATTGGTAAAAATATTTATGACTTTGGCCTACCCAATGAAGAATCTCTAAAGGAGTTCAAGCCTATTAATGAATTACCTTCAGTGATAAGGGTTTGGTTTGGTTTGTTTGTTTGAGACAGAATCTCACTCTGTCGCCCAGACTGAAGTGCAGTGGCACAATCTTGGGTCACTGCAACCTCCGCCTCCCAGGTTCAAGCGATTCTCCTGC